CCGCCGCCGCCGCCGCCGCCGCCGCCGGCCGCTCAGGGCGAGCTGGCCGGGCTGATGGTGGGGCTGCTGGCGTCCGAGCGGCTGTAGTCGCTGAGCGAGCCGGTCCTCGAGCCCCCGCCGCGCCGCTGCAGCATCCCCGGGTGGAAGTTGGCGTGGCGGCGCGCGTGCTTGGTCAGGTGGTCGCTGCGCATGAAGCGCTTGTCGCAGATGGGGCAGCTGAACTTTTTCTCGCCCGTGTGCGTGCGGTAGTGCCGCGCCAGCTCGTCGGAGCGCGCGAACTTCTTGTTGCAGTCCTGCCAGCTGCAGGCGAAGGGGCGCTCCCCTGTGGGCGACACGGCAGAGGGAGGGTCAGTCACAGCCCACACCCCAAGCCCGCCCCCCCCTCCCTGCGCACCTCCCTCGGTGCCCCGTCTCCGACAGCCTCGGCGACAAATCCTTCAGGGTACAGGTGTGGGTGCCAGCGCCCTCCTGGCCGCAGGGTGGATGTAAGCAGACATCTCCCGGGAGGAAACGGCAGCATGCCCGGTGCTGCGGCCCCCTCAAGTACCCGGCATGGCGTGCCACGCAGCACCCTCTGCAGGGTCAGCTGTCCCTAGGCGGCGGCGGGGAGCACAGGCCGGTCCCTGGGCTCTAAGAAGGGAAACTAAAACTAGGAGGAGAGGGTGGAGGGGTCAGGGAGAGCTCGCAGGCCTGCAAGTTTGGCCACACCACCCTGGCCCCACCAGGAGCCCTACTCCAGAGCCCCCAAGCCCTGCAGGGCCTGCAGACAATTTGCTGACGCCAGCGGTCCACAGTCTCCTCATCTGTAACATGAATGGGTCAGGATGGACTATTTCCAGGGCCTGAGAGTCTGTGACCGAGATGTCTGTTTACCGCAACAGGCTCCCACTAGAGTCTGCAGCTCCTCCTCTCAGAGATCTTCCAACATGGCCAACAGGCAGCACAGGAGGAGGCTGCGGGGTGACACCTAGCAGAGGGAGGTAAGGAAGGCTGGCTACAGTCAGAACCTCGTCCCTCCCTCCCATCCCCTGCTCGGGGCCAGCCTTTACCCAGGCAAACTCTGAACCACGCACACACACACAAGACATCAACTGCACACGGAGAACCAGCAGGGGGTTCTAGCACCCCAGAATGCAGCCCTCTGGCACTGGGGGTGGCCACACAGTACACTTTCCTGCCCCGTTTCTACCCCTCCCTCCCGGACTCTGGCCCTGAAGCTGAGAGCCAGCCCTTGAAGCTGGTCCACCAGTGCTCAGCAGAGGAAATCTACACCACCCACTCCAAATGAGCCCATCAACCTTAAATATAAACAGACACCCAAAGATGGCCAGACATCCAAGGAAAACCAGTGGCATGAAAGGGAAAGGCCAAGAGCAACAAAACCACTGACTCCAGAGGAAAGAAGAGTAAAGCCAGGAAGCAGAAGAGAATGTTAAGCTAAAAATTCTAATTAGCATTCTCAAAGAAATTTCAGATAAAATTTTGTGCATAAAGCAAACAGCATAAAAAGGAAGTTCAGAGAACAAAAAATAGTGTTTAGAAGTTGGGAGTATTGCTGCCCAAACAAAAATTCCATAGAAAAGCTGCAAACATACTCAAGGAAATATCTCAGAAAAAGAGAACAACAAAACAAAAACAGCTCTAGAAAATGTGAATGCTGCAGTGTTCTCTGTCTCCTAGCAATGCTGAAGCTGAGAGCTGTGTGTGGCTCTGTTTGCTCTCCTTATTGATTTTCTGTTATGGAGGGGGGGGCAGGGTGGGGCGGGGTGGTTTCACAATCAAGCAAGAGAGCAAGCCATCACTTCCCATCTGTTACTAACAGTGAGAGCTAGAAGTTCAGCGTCAGGGAATCAGTCCTGTGGGTACGACATCTAACTAACAGAAGACACTGAGGAAAAGAACCAAAAAATGGAGAAGAGGAAATTACCAAAGAAACAATAGAACAGTATCTGTCAGAGTAAAAAAAAAGGAGACAGGAAGCTAACATGGAAAGGGTTATTAGCACAGAGGTGGGCCGGGGAGTGAGTAAAGGCTCCTGCTGTGAGAATATCTGCAGTGTCAGAGCACTAGGTAAGAAGAGATCCCAAAACTTACTGGAGAGAAAGGGGAGAAGCAGGTCATCCGGGAGGGAACAAGGCTGGGGCACACACCAGACTTCTCCTAAGTTACACTAGCTGCTAGATGACAGAGAAACACAGCCTCCCAAGTTTACCTTGCACACTCTAGCAAAAATAAGAAAACACTGAGAAGCCAGGGAAGTAAGCGAACAATGAAGGGTCATCCCAGGCCAAGAGTGAGGGAGACTTGGTGGGCCACTGGAGCTGTGGGCCAGGAATCACAGAGGGAGGGCTACAAGAAGAAAGGGAGTTCCATGTACCATAGAGCATGATCAAGAGGCTGAGTACATTTCAGGACATGGCCAAGGCACATACTATTCTTCGGTTAAAGGGAAAAAAGAGAGGCAATTAGTAACTCCAGGAAAAATAGAAGACATGTAAGAAAATTGTCTAAATTAGAAGCAAACTAAAATGCCACATGATTACGAGCAATGAAGGAAGAGCTCCGAGCCAAACACTGTTTTAGGGGCTTTTTGTGTATTATTTATCCTTCACAACAACCCCATGAGGTGGCAGAAGGGAATGCAGTTCCAAACAGAGGCCCTGGCATACGGAAGCGATATTCACACAGTCGTGATCATGTGAACCCTAGCACTACTTGTCAGTGTTTAGAGTCGATCTTATAGACAAAGCCCATACCACTGATTCGTGGCCCCAGGAGAGAATGTGGGTTTAAGGGAAAGGTAGGAATACACCCATGTGCAGTCAAAGGAAATCTCTAAATGAGGTTAAAAGCTATAAGGATAATCAACAAAAGAATTAAAAACAATCATATAACCATCAATTTGGGAGGAGGTGGGGGAGGGGTAGGAATGAGGTAATTCCTTAAATTTCAGGGTAGGGAGGTAACGGATGGCATCTACAGTTGATAAAATGAGAAACAGTAATAAAATCATACAGTTCTATTTATGACAGTAACCACCAAGACAACTAAAATCAGAGCAGTACTGATCTCTAGAGAATAAGGCTGGACTGGGAAGAGGACTTTTTTGCTGCTGCAAACTCTTTTGTGTTATGTGTCTTTTAAAAAAATCATATGCATTTATGTCTTTGATAACAATAAAAAGGAATGCTGGAAAATAAGTCTTTAAATATCTAGCCCAACACCAAGTCAGAATTTTAAAACTGTTAATGGGTTCTGGGGAGAGGGGGGAAGAATGAGTACAAAGTTTGAGAAATACCGCACACTAATCCCACCCTAGGAGAGTCACAGTGCACGGTTATCATTTAAGTGTTTGGAAAGGCCCAGCACGAAATACAGTGGTGTCCTTTCACGTGACCGGCGCTGCACTCAAGACTTTGGGTGCACCAGGTCCAACAGATGAGGCTCAGCTCCTCTCTCCATGGTGTACTGATGCGTGGCCTCAGACAAAGGCCTCACTGCCTGCAGGGGGCGGTAAATAGTGGCCCCACCAAAGATACGTCCAAGTCCTGACCCCTGGAACCTGTCAATGTGACCTTATTTGGGAAAAAGGTCTTTGCACATACAATTAAGGTAGGGATCATGAGAAGAGATCACAAACATTAGAAGAAAAGGGGAAAGGACTCCAGGGAGTGATGTACCCGTAAGCCAGGGGACTCGGAGTCTGGGGCAGCCACCAGACACTGGGAGGGGGGACTAACGCTGCCAACACTTTGACTTCACACTTCAGCGCTCCAAAACAGTGAAAGAGCATACTTCTGTTGTTCTAAGCCACCCAGTTTGTGGTTAATTGGTTACAAAAGCCACAGGAAACGAACACAGTGCCCCATCCTCACAGTGGGGTCCACGTGGGGATTCTACAGGGTTGCACACAAACCAGCCCTTGGCACTGTGCCTGGTACAGGCCCCGTGCTTACTCCCGAGATGTTATTTTTGCTCTTATCTATTATTCTTGTCATCTAGGTCTCCTCAGATTTGGGCCTGCCGGGAGGGGCAGGGGTTGGGGGTGCTGGGCACACACTCAGTCTTGCTTCCTAATAAACCCTGTGTCCTCACTGGGAGGCTTGTCCTTTTCAGGGTCCTTCTGCTGCAACCCTGGGAGGCGCGTTAGAAGTATATAATTAGAGATGGGATGCATGACCCCAGGGTGGCAGCGGAAGGCAGCATCCAACAGGATGGGATGTTGGTGCCAGGCAGCCTGGTGGTCGAGGTGGGGAAAGCCCAGCATCACTACTCGGCCAGCACGCAGCCCTGGGCCTACTGGGGCATCAGCAGCACGACACTTTTATGGAGCACAAAAGCAATGCCCAGCCCTGGGAACGTGGGTGTGATGTCGACAGACAGGGCTCTCCCTGGTCCGTTCTCTGTTCTTCTGTCAGCCCGTTCCAGGTGGCCAATAAGCTGGTCCACAGACAGACGGATAAACCATTCAGAAGTTATGATGCAGGCTGGCGAGGAGCACCACCGGGTTTCGCTTGGCTGGCCTCTGAGTGGTGACATTCAAGCGGCACCCGGGAGGCTGACCAGGGGGCAGCGGGAGAACTGCGAACAGATGGGGCAAAGGCAGCCTGTACAGGGGGACAGAGACCAGAGACCTCCACAACAGCACTGCTCACCCTTTTAGTAAGGAACCCGGGGAGCTTTTGTTCACCTGGATTATGTCCACTGACATTTATCATAGAAATTAAAACAAAAACATTTAAACTCAAGCACATATTCCAGTAGCTGTCAGAAGGATGATGTCATCACACATCATGCAGCCTCTGGAACATTCCACTGTATTCTTTTGAGAAAATAAAGGACAAATAATGCTATTGTTGAGAAAATAGTTCTGACCTCATCTGGAGGGTCTGGAGTCCCTGCAGGTGTCTCTGGGACTCACTTTGAAAACCGCCACTGCTGCTCAGGGACTCACCCCAGGTGGCACGTGGCTGAGCTGAGCTAGGGGAGGGGCGGTTGCACCCAGAGCGGGGCAGGGGCCAGCAGGTCCGGGACCGGCGGGGCGTGCACCCGTGCACCAAACAAAGCCGAGCCTCTTCCTGGCCAGGCTCAAGTTCCGCACCTGCCTCCTCCTAGGATGCGACCGGGAAACAGCAGCGGTACCGCGGGGCTGCCACCGGAGGGCGCTAGGCCCAGCGCACAAGGGACCCAGACCCCAGAGCCCTGAAGGCAGCCCAGGCCTCCTGCAGCCTCCCTGGAGCCTAAGCCTGGGGTGCGCACAGGTCGCTCTGCCCGCCACCCCCCCCCTTCAGAAGCCAGGAGGGCGGCAGGTGTGTGGGCGTA